TCTGTAAATGTTCATGAAAATTAATAAAATTTAATTAAAATAAAGAGTACTAAAGAACATTATTGTTTAGTCCCAATCACTTCCTTTTAAAAAATTCACCAGAATTTAGAATAATGAAGGACAAGCCAAAGGAGGAGCGAATGATTTTAGAGTTGAATTCAATCAGTCCAGAAGTTCAGTCCAATAGTTAGTACACCTCAAGTTCTCTAAATCAGCTATGAAGCCAAAGACATACCTTTGAATCCCCTCAACTAGCGCCACCTCATCAGGGGAGGATGATATATACACACAAGATTTTCCTGAGTCTGGTGATTTCCTGGGACCATCTACATTATCATCATCTTTCACTTGGACCGTGTGGCAAAGACAGAGAGCACGAAAGAACAGCTCTTCACGTTCCTATAAAATGTAGGACAAAACGCAAAATAAAACCATTTTTTATAAAAAAAAAGGAAAAGGTAAACAAAGGGTGTTTCTAAAAGGTTTAAGCATTGGTAGTTCTGCCATTGGTAATTTAGAAAGAATCTAACTATGGCTTTTCTTCATTCTTGAGTCATTGTATAATTACCACTTTTGTGACCTGTGGGATCTATACTGCCCACCAACATTTCCAGCCTCTCAGGTACCTGGTGAAGTTGCCATTCTAACTGAAGCTTGTGCTCTCACCTGCATGGATCTCTATATAAGGGCACATGTCTGAAAAAAATGGGTCTAAGCCTACTATCAGAGCCCACTTGGGGCATAGGCGTCACATACAATTGTACCAAAATCTATATTACCTCAATTTCCCCCTATGATTACAGCATGCCTTTACTGAAAACACATGGTAACAACAAAAAAATTCAAACTAGAAAATAATGTGGTTATGAAAGGTCTAAACACTGGTAATTTAGAAAAAGTATAATTGTGGCTTTTCTTCAGTCTTGACTATTTCTCAGTGGCCAATGAACTATGAAGAGGAGTGTTTTATTCAGTGGTGATACTTTCAGTTACTACAAAAGCATGGCTCCACGGGTACTCAGGAATAGCAAATAACTGCTAAATATTTGAAGTTACAGAGCAAAGACAGACTGTATTACATAAACATATTAAAGCACAAAATACTTACAAAAATCTTGAACTTTAATTACATTACTGTCCTGAAGGATCATATTATAGTGACATGTCCTAACATATAATTGTACATTACACTAGATATTTATAAAAAAACATTACGCATTCGACATATTCTTGAAATAATATAATTCAATCCTAAAGCAACCAGTAAAAAACAGGCTACTGTGCTAATTTTGCAGCTAAAGAAATGAAAGTTTATGAAGATCAGACAATTTATTCAAGATAATAAAATATGACAGAGCAGAGACTTGAATTCTGCTCTTTCTCGCTTAACTGATCTTATAATAATAAAAAAAAACCCAAAAGGCCCAAAACTTAAAAAAAACCCAACACTACCAAACCCACACCAGAACGTGTAACCCAGTGCTGTTGGTCAATCCTGAAATGACTCATAATTGATCCTCTAGCAGGTTTTCAAAGGTTATAAATACCAGTGAAAACAAACTGTCTCTGCTTCTACCAGAAGCACCACCTCTGGTGGCCGAGTAGTAAGAAGCCGCACTGCAATCCCACTGGGACACAGTTTAAATTCAATATTTGCTCCATGGGAAAAGGATAGCCAATCTCCTCCCATGCGATTTATGAACTCTGAAAACCCACTGGAGGGTTAGCTGAGTTGGTTTTGACTTGATGACACACAACATCATATTTCTCCCAAGCAGCAGCTGGTGGATTCAAACCAGCAGAGAAATGTTGTCACTCTGGATATAGCAGCACAACTCCCTATGCCACCAAAGTTCCCCATATCATTCTACTGCCTCTAAACGTAACTTATAAAGCAAGGTTTTTCCCACCCAAACTTTGCTGTACACTGGAATCTTTAAAAATATAGGGGAATAAACGCTTCCCCAGGGGATTCTAATGTTGACTCAGGTTGACAACAGTAAATACAAGGGCTCAAAGAAGAGCTTACCACACAAAGCAGTCACAGTATGATTTTACTATGATAGGTTTTACCACAGCCATAACAACTAACTGACCCCTCTCATCTATAGATTATTGTTACAAATGAAAAGCCTACTATATTAAAATCAATTGACTCACATGGAATAGTAGGTAGGATACACTTCGGTAATTAAAAATTGTTATTGCAAAACAAAGCCATCCTCAGTTTTCCAGAGCACTCTCGAGTAGCTGAGGTTTTGACACAAAGCTCTGTAATGATTCTATATTCTGGAATAGTTTCTCAGCTAACCATAGATAAAGGTAAGGGGCTCTGTACAGCACAGTTATGTCCCTCTGAAGAAAAATGATCTTTTATTAGAATTGTTAACGTACCTTTACACTAACACCTGGAGAAGAATCAATCATATCAATTCCTGAAGAATCAGGGAGAACTTGTCCATTACAGATTACGTGAGGCACGTAGACATGACCTTCAATACAGCATTCCTTAAATTCCATGTTGTTTTCTGTGAGGGTGCCAGTTTTATCAGTGAAGATATATTCCACCTATAAAACAGCATGACCAAAAGTTAAAATGAAGCTATGTGAGGAATTCAATTGATTCTTCTCTGTATAGGTTCTCTGATTTAAAACATCAGAGCTGTAGTATTTTCCCTTAATATCAATTATTTTTTTACATGAAATCTGAAAGGCTTTACCCTAACATACTACTTCAAAAGGATAAACTGTAATTGTGCTTGAGAATGCATATTCTTTTCTAACTTTAAACATTAACAAGGATCCTCTGAGAGAAGTATAATTCAGGAGAATTACCAGTGGGTGATGACTGTTTTGTCTCTTCGATTATGTTGTTGTTGTTGCTAAATGCTGTCAAACTGATTACTGTTCACAGAAACCCTGGGAACAACAGATCTGCACCTTGTCATATTCTGTGCTATTCTTGATATCTCTGGTACACTTGATACCACTGCTGCAGCCACTGGATCCATTTTGTTGAAGGTCTTTGTCAACCATTCATCTTTCCAAGTATAATGTCCCTATCCAAGGGACAGCCCCTCCTAATAACATGTCCAGAGAAGCTTCTCTATTTTTACCTCAAAGGAGCAACTGGCTGCACTTTCTCCAAAACCTACATTTCTTTTTTTGACAGGTCATAAGGCATTCCACATTCTTCTCCAGCACCACAAATCAAAGGCATTAATTATTTTTGTCATCCTTATTCACTGCCCAGCTCTCAAGTGACTCGAAAGACCATGGCTTGAAAAGGTGCGCCTTAGTCTTTAAGTTGACACCATTTCTCTTCAGTACTTTAGAAAGGTCCAATAAGAGACTTTCCCAGTGCAACACTTATTCTTTTTTTTAAAAAAGGTGAGCTTATTTATTTTTGTGTCCAAGAAAATTTTATTTTTTACTTTATTTGGATACGGAGATAGCCGATCTCAGAGAGGAAAGCCTCAATCTCTTGGCGATCTGTTCCTGGTATTTTATTTTGACCTCCTTCATTCTTTTGGCCCAAAGCTTACCCATACTCTGCAGCCTCCAGCTGCTGCTGCTGCTTCTGTTGGTTTTTTTTTTTTAATGTGCTCACAAGTGGTTTATAAGTATTGAATTTTTTAAAATATTTTTTTTTATTTTACACTTGTTTACTTAGCCATTTGCAATGTTTTTCTATACTATCTTCATTCACACTATTTCATACAATAATTGTAATTCATTATATTTTACAAAATCAATCAACACCAAAATATGCCCACTCTTGCCCTGTCTTTCCAGATCTAATTAATGTCTAATTAAATATCCCTTTCAGATAGTTCTTCCCCTCCTCTGTTCCAAGTACACAGTTTCGTCAGAGAAATGTGCTGGCGTTCATGCTTCTGGAAACATAGAGAAACAAGATACTTAATCTTGGATGCTTTGGCCCTGGGCTTCTTGCCTTTTTTGCTCAGTGGCTTTCTCACAAAACAGGGATGGGCTTCATTTCTTTAACGACTGAAGAGTTCTTTTGGGTCCCAGACGATGAGGTATGGTAGTATCAGTCAGTCCTAGCATGTCTTTCACTTCTTTCTTCACAATAATCAGGTTGAGAACACTCAGATTGACATCCACACTGCAATCCGGGTCGGATTTACACTTCCTTTCTCCAGTTCTTCATGGTCTATAACAGAATAATCCCATGCTCAGCAGCAGGTGGATGTGGACATGGTTTAAGACAACCTGCTTCATGAGAAAACCTTGTTTGTCATTTGAACCACTGATTCAGATGATATATCACTTCCACTCACCACCCAGAGAGTCAGTAACAACTTCTCTGGCCATTTGCTTCTTGTAAAATGTACAGAGTTTGCATTCATCGTTCACTTCAATGAGCTTTTAGCAGCCAGTAGCAAGAAAGGAGATTTTCAATGGTCTAACAGCTGACTGTCCCAGCATTGCCATGAAAAGTGTCTTCTGATATTCTGAATGCTGGATCCAAGTAAGATGAAGTCATGGACAATTTCAATCTTTTCTCCATCTATCATATTGACTACTGGCCCAGGTGTGAGGATTTTTGTTTTCTTGATGTTGAGATGTAATCTATATTGACAGCTCTGGTCTTTGATCATCTGTAGCACGTGTTTCAAGGTTTCCTCACTTTCAGCAAGCAAGGGTTTTGTCATCTGCATAACATAGGTTGTTGATAAGTCCTTCCTCAATCCTGATACCGTATTTTTCTTTATAAAGTCCAGCTTCTCAAATAATTTGTTCAGCATACTGACTGAAAATACATCCCTACCATTCTAAGTAAGCTGGTATCACTCAATTTCTGGAGGCATGTTATTTAGGAGTATTAGTTCAAATACTTTAACTTTTGCAAATAGCAAAAAGTTCATGGAAATAAATGTTGAAACATGTAACAAGTAGAAATGAAAAAGTATGTACACATGTTTTGGTACAGCATGCTAATGCAGATACCATGTCTATATTGTGACATTTTTAGAAGTGAATTACTGCTTCATTAACTCTCAACTAATGGTAAAAAAAAGGTTACTTTTAATATTTAATTATGTTAAAAGCCATGGACAAAAAGTCATGGCCAGAGTTTGGTGATAGCCTGAAAATAAACAACTGGAAATGTTCCAGAGCAGTTCAAGGACAAACGGCATTCACTGTAGCTTATCTGCACGCAAGCGCTGAAGATGGGTGGAAAGTTGATCTGTGCACAAAGCAGTCACGTATTCAGCTTGAACAAACACTGGTTCTGTAGAGGTGAAGGGCCAATGCCTTCATGTGCCAAGGTCCCGTCTGCTCACCCCATGTGAAGTCAGGCAGCAGAAGAATGCACAATGCCCTGGCTTCCTGGGGTCTCCAGGTGATGTTGCCTGAGAGTCTATTTGACTCTTTTTTGCCGATGGTTCTCAAATCTTATCCATGGAGTCAACATAGGAAGGAGATATATATGGCCTGAACGTGGTGGCTCGCCAAGTGGCCAGTGGGGAGAAATGTGCACAACGTGCAGTGAGTTGGTTTGCCTTGACTGAGAGGTGTCTCTAGCTGGTGCACAGACAAATGATCTTGCAGACTGAAGGTTGCTTTGGTGAGGATTGTTCCTCAGGTGGAAAAGTGATTTCATTTTTCAAACTGGATCAGGCACACCTTAGGCCCTAGACTGACATCGTTGCTTTTCAGTACTCTGGAGAGGTCCCTGAATCTTTTGATTTCCTGACTGCAGGTACCAAGACTGCTGATTGTCGAGCCGAGTAAGCCGAAATAAATTGTTAATAACCTCAATCTTTTCTCCATCTATCGTGGTGCTGCCAACTGGACCAGTGGTGAGAATCCATATTAAAGACCACAGTCAACTTTCAGCAGCAAATGCGTCAGGCCCTTTTCATTTTTAGCAAGCAAGGTTGTATCATCTGCATAACACAAACTGTGAGTGAGTCTTCTTACAATCATGATGTCACATTCTTCCTCATGAATACCAGCTTCCCAAACGATCTATTCTGCATATATGATTCAATCTTGTATATTAAGAAATCTGAGTGCAGAAAATTAGGTTACTGGCCCAAGATTACAGTTGTAAAGCTGTAAGTGGCAAAGCAGAATATGAATTTAAGTGAATTGATCTAATTATAAAATACTAAGCAAGAACGTTTCTAAACTCTCATCAATTTCAGTTTGTGTATCTTTAAAATAATATTAATAATAATATTAAGCATGTACAGTTTAGATATCTGGAAATCTAACATGAGATTGACTCAATTTTTAACATGTATACAAGACAACTGAGGAATTACTGACCTGTCCTAATTCTTCATTTAAATCAGAGGTATTCACCAGAGGCCCTTCTCCAGTTTCTTCATCAAACATTTCTTCATCCCAAGTGATGAAATAAGAACCAAAGAATTTCTGCATTTCTACAGTGACATACATGGACACTGGGATAATGTAGTTAAAGAGGACCATGAAAGCCAAGAAGTCTGTGAAAGCGCTGAGGAACTGAAAAGAAAAGTAAGGACAACTGAACACGATGAAGTACCATGTCAGTCAGTGCAAAACTAAAGTAACAGGGTGATTGGATTATCCAAAGTAGGCATAAGAAATAAAAGTGGTGTTTTTAAATGTAACTATTTCAAAAGCCAAAAATAAGGACTATTTAGTGTTGGATGCAGCCATAGGCTTACTCCCTTGTCAGCTAATTTTCCACTCATGGCCAAGAAGTTGATTTCCATGTCTTCTGTTAATGGATTTAAGGATGAAATAATGTTAAAATAAACACGCTGCAAAGGGAAAAGAAGTTATGCTACGTTACAGATAATAGAAAAGGTGTTACTTTGAAGACTATTTATCACTATGAAAAATTATAATAGCTAAAATAGTAATAACCTACACAATTTCCCTTTCCCAAAATCAGGCATAAATTACACTTAGTATATTGGTTGGTGCATATATGTCTGTAATAGCTCTATTAAAAAGTTTTTCTCGTATGTATATGATATTAATATGTATTAATATTATCCTATCACTGAGTACTGTACTAAAGGAAAGATCTTGAAATATTTTTGACAATGAATTTTACACCATTTCTCTTCAATTAGAGAGATCGTGGATTAGCGGTAAGGAATTGCACTGCCAATGCAAAAGAATGTGATTCAAATCCATCAGCTGCTCTACAGGAGAAAGATGGGCAATCTCCTCCCATGCGATAACAACCTCTAAAAACTTGCTGGAGGGTCATCTTTGGGTCAGTTCCGACTTACTGGTACATCACAACCTCTTTAATTTGTCATTCAGGACAAAGTGGATCATATGATTGTGTGTTTCAAAATGGCCCAAATCACTCCATCTCAGCAAATTAATGCCTAATTCTTTTTCATCATCATCATCATCATCATCATCATCATTTTTCATTATTTAATTGGTTGCATTTTTAACAACTTCTAATATTCCTAGATTGATACTTCATAGTCTACATTGCAATTATTAATAGATGTTTGCAACTATTTGTCATTATTTTGAATCTTACTCTATTATTAAATGGAGAACCTTCAGTGTGTGAAAACTTTCTTCCAGCTGCATCATTAAGGTAAACTCTACTTTGAGGAGAGAACTCTTTTCTTGTCTCAGTTTGGATGCCTTCAAACCCTTGAGGGACTCATTTTCTAGCACTGTATCTAACAATGTTCTGACGTTTTTCACAGGTTACTGCAGACCTATTATTTCAGAAATGGATGGTCAGACCTATTTTTTTAGTCTGACGCTCCACTGAAACCTATTTACCATGGGTGACCCTGTTCGTATTTATAATACTTGTGACATAGTTTCCAGCATCATAGCAACGTAAAAACCATCATAGTACAATAAACTGTGAGACAAGTGGGAGGCACAAGACCAGAAGCTCTGATGGCAAAATGGTGGCAAACTACTAGCAGTTTGAACCTGCCCAACAGTTCTATGTGAGAAATACCTGGTGATCTGCTCTTACAAAGATTACAGCCTAGAAAACCTGACAGGACAGTTCTGTCTGACATGAGATTGCTATGAGGTGAAATCTACTTGATGGCATTTAATAAAAAGAAACATAAGGTTGTGCAGGGTCTGGAAATACCAAAACTGTTTAATATACTGTCCTCATAGATTTGATATGGTAATCAATTAAGTTTCCAGAGTTGGATGTTAAAATACCAAATGAGAGCAGTAATCATCAGGGTCTATAGGTGAGGAAAAGAGCTCTTCTGGCAAAGTGTCAAGTGGTGCATTACTAACCTGAAGAGCTAGCATTTGAATCCTCCACTGCTCTGTAAAAGATGGACAATCTCCTCCTGTCCATCAGATTTACAACCTCGGGAACTCAGTGGAGGGTTGCGATGAGTTAGAATCAACTACACAGCAACAGTGGGTTTAGTAATTGCTTTTTGTTTGTTTCATAGCTGGGAGGCAACTAATAAATATATCAATGAGTGTATCTATTTTTTATATATATTTAACTAATAATCTGTCTACAGCAAATTCCCCTTTATAATTTTAATCCAAAACAATAGTCTACAATCATCTTTGAAAAGATGATAGAAAAAGATAAATCATTCTTTTACTTTTCAAAGAGAAGAGTGAATTTGGGGGGGGGAGGTGGGCAGGGAGAAAAGTGCAACAATGAATGAATGGAAATCCAAGGTGTCTGTAAACTTCCATTAAAATTAATTAAAAAAATATAAAAGTGAAGGTGGGGAGACTTGAAAAAAAGATATATCAGGAGACATTTTCCATACCAGGTTTCTTTGTCTTTCTGATTCTGTTTTCTGATTATACCATGGTTCATCTCGAAATGGTTCACTCTGCCATACATATTTCAGGACAGTATTTATCAATGCTTTACTGATTAGAATACAGAGGTACACAATAAGGAATACATTCATTGATCTAAAACAAAAAGAGAGCAATGTTTAATTAGTTATTACTCCTTGAATAAATGATGACATACATAGATTCTTAAAAATGTCAGGAGAGACGCGTTATGAAGAAACAATATAAATAAGGTGAGCTAACACAGTAACTATTATGCATATTAAAAAAATATAAGTTCATCTAGATCTGAGATCAGTCAATGATCACTAGTATATAATTTCAGTAGGCATAAGGGAAAGATACAAGCAAAGGGTGTTTGTATAAGCAGAAAAGAAAACTGCATATGTTACTGAAAAGTTTTATAAATAATGTAGAATTATGTGATATAAAAGACATCTGACGGGAGTTCTGGTGACCTAGTGGCAAGAAGCTGCACTACAATCCCAGAGGTACAAGGTTCGAATCCACCAGGTGCTCAGCTGGAGAAGGAGAGCAATCTCTTCCTGTATCAGTCAGATCCGATTTGATGGTCCACACACAAAAAATAATAAAATAAAAGAAAAAATGTATCAAAAAAAGACATCTGACAATCCATTCTCTTCCTTAAGAACCAGTCCAGGAATTAAAAGTGTGGTGATTACCACTACAAGAGGAAACATGGGAAAGGGGAAAGGAGAGGGAGGAATGAGAAAGTGAATATTCTGTAGGGAAATGTTTGCACATACGAAAAATTCTGAATTTGAATTGAAAATAGACTGTGAGAAAAAAAAAGATATTTTCCTATATCTATTTCTGAAACCTATTTGCTACATGTAGACATCTAGAAATTGAATTCTTGAAGATAATGAATGCAGCCACAAAAGGACAAAAACCTAGTGATAAAACTGAATTATCAACTTATAAAAGTAGTGCTCTATAAAATACAGTAGCACATACTTACTTATTAAACACTTAACAAACCATTTTGCCATCTTTCCCCCAGTCAAGGATCTACTTTAAAAAGAGGCAACGAAAACAAAATTTCCTGGCCAACTTTCTTACAAATTAAAGTACCATCATAACCTTCTGTCATGAAGATTTTATTGTGTAATAAAAAACCAACAAACCACTTATGTTCTCTCTATTACTTCTTAATAAAACCGTATCAGAAAATACACGAGAGCTTCCCTCAAATTCCAGATTTAAAAATAACTCTGACTGGGGGAAGGGAGGGTAAATGCGCAACAATAAATGAATGAAAATTTAACTTTTCTATACATTTTCATTAAAATAACAATTAAAGTTAAAAAGTATATTTTAAAAAAATGTGAAGGACCTCTCTGTTCCCACCATGGTTATTATTTTATAAAATACACTGTATGGGCTGACATAGGGTTGGGGTAAGACTGAGGAAAACTGGATAAATTATGTTTACTGCATTGAAGTCTATGAGGGAGAGAATAGTTTAAAAGTATTATATTTTAGGGCATTATGTTTATTTTAAGAGTATGGAATGAGGGTTGCAGAGAGGATTATATTTGGGGTGCGGGTGGGGTTGGGGGGTGTGCGGGGAGG